CACATCATGAATAATTAAAAGAGTATATTTTGTTATCATCTTAAAGCAGCTTGTCCCTGTAGACTATAATGTACAGGGGATGTATGCCTACTGAAATGTTTAATTGCTTAATATTTCTAAAAACTTTTGTCATATCACTCACACACATTATAGTTTACTTTTACATTAAATAACACAGTTACATGACATGCTTCAATGTGCAGACGAAGCCACTAAATCAGAGAAATCGTACTTTTCCATTAAAATAAACTAAACAAAAACACAGACCAACTGTAGACTGCTCAGCTGCATGGGTACATCCTCCAGATTTTTTATCATTATGCTTTCACCCACATAAATGATCAAAACAAATGACAATCTCTGTGCAAAAGAGACGGAGCCCACAAAAGGGAGGCTGACAGCCATTTCCACAACAGATGTTTTTACAGAGGGGTGTCTTCTCTCCACTGAGCAGTCTCACACATGAGAGACCCCCAAAAGCTTCAGAGAAACGTCCAGAAAACCAACATGTAAATTTGTAACTGCCATGTCTCAGACTAGCAGGCCCACGCCAATGTATTGCTTTAGGAGAAAAACAAGGAAAAACAAGAAATAAACATATCAGTGAGGATGGTTTAAAAAGGCGGAGGAATAGAATTAGAACTTCAATACGAGAAAAAGACAACAGACAACATCGTTATGTGTTATCACGGAAAGATAAGTCCCTATTGATCCGCGTTGTGGGCAAAGGCTGCGCTATTGACAGGAAGACAGAATATGTTGGAGGGGCAATATTTCATACATTTGGCCTGTTCACTCCATCACTGTGAGAGGGCGTTTTTCTGGGCTGTATATAATAACACGTGTGCTCTTTATTTCCTTCAGATCAATGGTAATGCGAGGGGGGCCACACAAGATGGATGCCAGGGGCAGGTTAACCTATCGACTGCTGAACAGAGACACACAGAGCAAGACAACCAAAACATGTATTACCATGAACCTCAGCTACTTGTGTTTCACTCGACTTATTGAACCAAAAACATGTTGCACTGCAAAACTGCAATTTGAATATTTTACATCTTATATCTTATATAATTCAGTCACATGCTTTTATCACATGGCAATACTTCTGTGGGTGTATAATGTTGTCTAATGTTTTTATAATTGTTATGCTATGACGTTTGTATTTATTTTGTGTCTTTTTTCAGCCCTTTGAGGCATTTCTTGTGATTTGGGGCTATAATACATTTTGATTTGATTTGATATTGTTTACTTAATAATTAGATAATAAAAAGAAATTCCGGCATTAAATATATAATTGTTTAATTTGATTTGAGAATAACTGTTGCATCGAAAACCCTGTTCTTTTGGGAGTTTAAGTGGAGGGAAAAAGTGGCAATGCTTTGCCTGGTGACCACTTCCTGGAGATAGTACAGGAGGTAGACAGGGGGAGGGGGGGCCAGGCCGGACCATCGGAATACCAGCCGGCTATTCAATCCCTTCAAGTCACTAACTTAATATATAAATAAATTAAAAAAGTACAAGGGTGAAGTTTAATGAAAAACATATACCAACTTTGATTTCACAAGTGTTTTTAATACTATACTCGCGTAGAAATCTACAGAATAACGCATTGAATCAAAGCTTCAAAATCAAGTAGGTTAGTGAAATTATTACTAAGATTTGATTAAAGATGGGTAATGATTTTAAAGGAGGCCTTATATTGTAAAAGTTTCAATTAATTAAACTTCACTGTGCTTGAATTCACTTTGTAAATGCACCTTTTGTAATGCTTTGGAACAGATATGGCAAGTCTTTAAACATTTTAACAAATTCTCTCTCCAATTAACGTGCTGATTCCATCTCATGCCGCACGGTGATTCAACTGAAAACATCTGATGATTCTGTGCCTTTCTATTGTGCGTGCAATGCTATCACTGTCTAAGAAAATACAATAAAATCTAAATATGAAGTCACTGTGGCTGAACTGCAAATCGAACGTTAATAGAATAATGCTGTTCCGACAGACAGCTCCGAGCATTATTGTCTAAAGTTGGGTAAAGGGTAATTAATTTGGCATTAAATCATTCAGTGTTTTGGTGACTCTGATGAGAATTGTAATTTTCTTTTTTTTGCTCAGACTTCCCCCCAGCCAACCCCCAGTCCCCATTGTCTGTGAAAATGGAAATCTGTGCCACCAGTACAATATCCACATTATGTGCCCTGCCTCGACATTGTTGCATGACATGCTTGATTGTACCCTGGCATATAGGAAGGGAAATGTGTAAACATACCATTAGCACATATTAACGTTTGTCCTCTGCTTACATTAAAGTGGAATTCATTAGTTTATACGTTTTTTTATGATTTTCTTTTGTTTGAATGAAGTACCTCTTAGACATTTGTAGGACAGTCTTGTTTCGAAGAAGAAATGCATTTATTTCCAAATCAGTTTCCTTTTATATATGTGCTCTGAACAAACTGAAACAGTTGAAAAGTACATTAAATCCTTTTGCGTATATATTTAACTTTCTATTTTCACTCAGATGCACCAAATAGGAAATAGTTCTGTCACAGCGTTTTAACTGAAACATTCTACTGGTCTGTTCCTCCCTCAATGGCAGTTTTTATTAAAAACATGGCTTCAGGCTATATGTGCACTTTGTTCCTCGTTATTATTGAAGGTATATGACTTATTGTGTGTTTCTATGTTGTACAATGATCATTCGACTGAACATCTGTGTGTCTCTCAGGTTGTTTGTTTCCTGTAAGACTGTTTAGGAAGGTTTGATGATGACAAACAGCCCCGAAAGAATAGTCAAAGCTTTATGAGTGGCGCCACCTCATTTCACTAGAGAAATATTTGTATATAGGTAATTTACTTTGTTTGCAATGTCTTAATATACACTATTTAAACATGTATTGGATAAGGGCATAATTGGTTAAGGATTTTTCTATACAGCCAGTAGATGATGGCATGTTTCCCTCTCACTAACTCACACAAAAGCATGGACTGCTTAGCCATTACATGCACAGAGATGTGATGGGAAATTTGACTAACTTACTTATTATGGGATTAACTGACTTATGTTCTGCTAATGGCAGCTGATCAAATTTAAGTACAAGTATGTTACTACTGCACTGGTGAACTCGCAACCTCTCTGCATTAAATGTAAAGTGTTTTAGAGATTGAATAAGTCTGTTTAGAAAATATCAATACTAGTATTTCATCCCGAGATGCTATAAACTATGGCGTATCTGACATAAGTAGTACATCTCTTTTGTTGTTTTGTTACTAATGGAAGGTGTCAAAAGCGACCTATCAGCTCCTGATAAGTTCCTGCTGTCAATAATGACTCAATGCTGCCATCTAGTGTTGGGACACACTTTACTTTAAAGTAAGGAAGAAAAAAACGTCAGCCTGAGTATGTCTGACATGACAGGCAGCAATATTTACCACTAAATGCTGCAATGGTAAAGATGAAATACTGTATATAATTATGGGATCCAGGGTGGCTTTGCAAAATTCATTTTTGTTATGGGTTAAGTGTGACACTGCAGTCAAGAATGGCTTGTATGTAAAGGTGTGATCAAATGTTGGCTGAAGCTTGAGTCTGTATATATTACTCCGAGTGTAAGCATGGTGTTACAGTATGCCCCTGAGTATGTGTGTGTGATTGTTAGCGTGTGTTGGTTGCAGACTCTTCTCAGTATCAGCTCCTCACACAGAAAACCGAGATGCTCTCCTTTGCTGTATTTTACACTCTCTCCTCCGATACCTCAGCTCCACTCGTCTAGCCATGATCTCAGAGTTGAAACAGAGTTCAGCCAAGTTTAGAATTGTTCGTACTTGTTTTATCAGCGACGCGTACTATATATCCCCCATGAAATACTACAGCCAGCAAGAGATCTAGGGAGCAGGGAAACAATTGAATGGGCATTAATGATTTACAGGTACATATCTGCTATAATACCAACACAGGCGGAGGAAACTGAGAGCAGGATCTGATGACATTATTGATGTTGCCTCAGATAACACCTTGATCATCAACTATGTATGCTTCTGGCAAAATATATAAGATAAAGACCAAGTGAGAGTAGACTATTTACCGGCCTAATGAAGACTAGACCACTGCTCAGACACTGAGTCAGGATAGGTGGGTCACAGACAGTTTCACGTTTATTAAGAACAAAGACTTTATGAAACATGTTTGCTGTTTATTTATTTGTTAATTTGAAACAGATTGTAACATATTAGAGTCATTAGTATGTGTTTCTGATGCAGCTTTTATTGAGAAGCAGTATAATTTATTAAAGACTCAGTCATTAGTGTAGAGATCGTTTAACCTATTGGATTTAACTTTGTTTGTTTTTGAGTCCTGCATTTTGACAAACCCAAAAAGTAAATTGGTTTATACTTACTGAGATCCATTTTGTTGTTGCCCTAAATCTTAACTTGCAATAACTATAGTTTAAATAATTTTTGCTTTAGAGATTAAAGTGAAATAAAGAGGTAATTTAGGGATTAAAAAAAGCTTCTAAGCCTGATAATCTTTGCAAAAAAGCATGTAACTAAGGGCAGCAACTGCCAATTATTTACATAGTTGGTTGATTCATGAAAAAGTTGCATCTAAGAGCCCAAAGTGACATCCTTTATTCTTGAAACTCGAAGATGTCGTGTAATTAAACAAAACAGAGAATAACAAAGCAAAGTACATTTGGGGCAATTTTACTTAAAAAATACTCCAATGATTAAATCAATTATCTATTTTTTGTAGTTGCTAATCATAAGTCCCTCAGTAGTGACTGGTCTGTGTCTAGTCTAGTATACATTATGCAGGGAACATTGCATGTCAGTGAATAATCCATCAAAAATACTTTTGTGTCTTTACAGAAAACAAAACATACTCTATTCTAAGCTAAAACCATAATTTCGAATCAATTTTAAACAATAACTTCGCAGCTGCACAGACATTCAAATGTCATTTAATCTGCATTTAACCAGGCTGTTTACAGAGGATGTGACGTACTAGTGTTTTGAATCGTGCAGGCTAACCACCGGCAGCACGGATAGCAAGCAAACACCATCCCCTTCACACATTTGGGGGTAACTGTGAGCTTCATGTCCCTATAATATCTGCCACAGTAAGTTTAACTCCATTCACATTCGGTCCGGTATAGCGCTAATTAACCGAGGTTGGTTTAGCATAGAACGCGTTAGCTTGCAGTTGCTAACAATAACTAGCCTTAGCAACCTACCGTTATTTCTCCTACAGGAAACAATGATGTATTGTAACCGTATTGACGAATGCACAATGATAATGTTAAGTCATTTATGACAGTGCATGGAACAATTGGCTGTTTGTGGTGGATGATAACACACGCCTGCAACGGTTTAACTTGACCAAATGGTAGCTTAGCGGTGTCGTTGTTTATTAAACATTACGTTAGCAAGGTTAGCTGCTAATTATGTGGAATGTCCAAGTAATGTGTGGCCAACAAATGCATAACACTAGGAGTGTTGTTAACCTAACGTTATGAGTGTGGGGCAATACACGTGGTTGGTGTTATAAACTACATGTATAATTATCTTTGTAACGTTTGGGTCACTGTCACTTTAATACTTACTTTGATTTTGGAGTGCGTTGAGGGGTTTCCTCGACTATTCAAATGTGTGTTGTAGTTGCATCCAGGCCTGTCGATTTGTGGTGAAATTAATCAAAGCCCCCAAATTAGAAGTTCAGTAACTTTCGGTGGGTCGTAAAACAAAGTCAACACTCACCTATCGCGACAGCGAGGTGTGGCAGCAAAATCTCATCACCAAGCTTTCATAATAAATGCTTTTGTAACATCTTCATGGGACGTTTGGTCTGAGCTAAGCAACATTTTTACACTAAGGACAACTGTTGTTTTTGGTTATTCAAAGTTTGCAGTCGCGGCTCCTCGGTTGCGGAAAGTAACTAAGTACATCTTCTAATTTATACTTTATACTTTTGCTCTACTACATTTTGGAAGCAAATGTTGGTACTTTTTACTCCACTACATTGCTTTTACAGATTTGTTTACTAGTTACTTTATAAGTTGACGATTTTGACACACAATATTTGGGAAAACGTTTAAATATGATTGTTTTGTTATAAATTAAACTGTCCAACATTATACTTACTGTGAGTAACTAAATCCATGGGTGGCAAGTTTTTGGGTAAAAAATATAAAAAAGTTCCAGCTTTTTAAATGGGAAGATTTGCTGCTTTTGCTTTAACATACTTAAATATTGTTTAAGCTTTTTCTGCAATGATTATTTTTCTTCCAATACTTTAAAGTACATTTTACTCATCGTACTTCTATACTTTTACCTGAGTAACATTCTCGATGCTGTACTTTTACTTGAAATTGAGTATTTTTGCGTTGTTGTATTAGTACTTTTATTCAAGTAAAGAATCGGAATACTTTTTCCACCACTGGTGCTGCTCACTATAACTGCCTTGACTCTGTAGCTGAACTCCAGCACTACTGACCCTTTATTTCTCTATTGCACAGAAGGAGAACGCAATGGAACTCCACAAAATCATCCACAGTGTGATGTACGAATTTATTCAGGCTTACATTCCTGACGCAGATCTCAGGTAAACAATTGCCCAACTTTCGTAGCATCTTTACAAAAAAGTCAGTCTTACAATAACCTCTTTTTTGTTACCGCTCAATGCAGCACACTGGATGATGTTCTTCTGTTTTACATCACTGGAGTCCTGGAGGATCTGGGCTCCGAGCAGAGTGTTGAGGAGAACTTAGACGTGGAGGACTTTGCAGAAATGCTAGAAGCTTACATACCTGGCTTTGCTGAAATTGACAGGTAAACAGGAAGTTACACTTTGTTCTATTACATAACTCCAACGTTTGTTGTTCCTACAATTATGTTTTATATTTGCAGTGTCAAGGTCTGTGAAATGATGTTCAATCTAGCCTCAAAACTGGCAACTGCTCGGACCTCAGGTATTTTTCTTTACATTTTTATTATTTCTAATACATGCAGTACTGTGGCAGCTTTTCCAAATGTTTTTTTTATAATGTTGGATGGGGATCATCAGCTAACAGTTGTACTACAGTATTCTGATGTGATTTCTTTTCCTGTGAAGAAATTGTTGAGCTTAAGGCAAGGACAGAAGAGATTTCCTTGAAACTCCCCACCCTGCCCAGTGAACCTCCACCAGCGGAAACGCAGTGCCTTAAAACACAGACAGAGGGCGCCACTGCCAAGGTAATCATTTCAGCACAATATTTCCTTTACTTTCATTTTACGTTTTCCCATTGTGTGACCCACTGTTGATGTAGTTAGCAATAAGGTAATTTGGAGCTAATACCTTCGTGTAAATGTCCAGCAACCAGTGTCTAAGTGGGAGTCCCAGGAGCAGCATCTGTTGGAAATGTTTCCAAAGTGCAGTCTGTCCGATGCTCGCAGCGCCCTGTGTATTGCCAAAGGAGACATCGAGGAAGCTGTGCGCCTTATCATAGAGGGCGACGTCCAACTCAGCCAAACTCCTCTTAACGTGAGTAAATGCTACACACTGAAACACTGCCACTGTGTGTGTTATGCAGTGTGATTTGATGGTGTTCTGTTGTCTCAGGTAAACCCCGGGAAGAGTATTTCCTCAGTGCCAGACGAAAAACTTAAAGAGAACATCCTTGAGAAGTGAGTAAGATTGCTATCATCCTGTGGAGAGTAGAGCTGTGTTGCTATTTGTATGACTATGTTTCTTCTCCATAGGTACATGTTGGTTGACAGGGATGAGGATAAAAAAACACACAGGCCTTTGCCCCCTAAAGAGGTAAGTTATCCTCCATTTCAAATGTAATTACACCATAGTTACATATGTTTCATGCATTAAAACCCTTATCCTGGTGGGTTTTTTTTACAGGCTCCGAAGAAGCTAGTTCGGTACCACGGTAACCAGGTGGTAACCACAAAAGGAGAGCGCTATCAGCTGGTGAAGAAAGACGATGAAGAGGACATGAAGAAGACGTATGTCAACCTGAAGCCTGCACGAAAGTACAGATTCCATTGATGATGAGCACAACAGTGTAAGAGCAGCTACTGACAATATTGTTTACACTTTTGTATTATTTATTAAGTTAATTTGGCTCAAGTATAGGAACATATATTTGTAGGTGTGTCAGTGGCTTATTTTGAAATTGTGTTGCCATTTTATGCCTTGGTTAAAACATTAAACCAGTGTTTCAGTTGCTTGAGAAGCTTTTAAAATGTGTGATATTTTGGTGAGGATGTTGTAACTTGTGTTCTCGTGTAACAGCCTAACCTATCAGAATCATACTTGTCAACCCTCCCGATTTTCGCGGGAGACTCCCGATTTCATTGCCCTCTCCCGGTTTCCTCCCGGTGTCATATTTCTCCCGATTTCTGACAAAATCAGATTTACTCAGGACTGTTTCCACTCAGACTTTAATACAGCTACACCATTGTTTGGTTTCCATGGTTACACGTCTCTTTAGTAGCGCGCAACTGAAAGTCTGACAGGGTGAGGAAGAGAGTCACAGAAAACAGAACAAGAATCGACAACTACTCTACTCTCTGCTCACTCCTTTCCTGCCCACACATATGCTCCATCAAGGATGGTGCCACAGGCCGCAAGGCATTGCACTTAGAACTACAATAAGCATGTTAATGTTAATCTAACAGCTCCGGTGATAAACTAGCACCCCCCCCCCCCATTTTGCATTTTGAAATTCTCCCAATTTCTGAGGTCTCAAGGTTGGCTAGTATGATCAGAATCTACTTGTTGCTGCCTCAGCAGGTCTGATGTTGCACTGACATTATTGTTCTTTTTTACCTCTTCATTTATTTATTTATTTTCACTCCCAAACGATGATATAGATTCATTATCATGACGTTGTCGAGGTGGATCTTTTATCATTCCTGTAAATAAGATCTTATGGTGCTGTAGAGCTTCTTCTAGACATTTCAAGTCATGATTGCATTTTCATGTAAATATATATCATTGATGCCAATTTCATTTAAAATTATATTTTTACATCCTCCAGGAATACAGTGCTGGGAAAAGGCTCGGTCAATCCTTGAGAATGGGACAATTTGTTGTGCTACGAAATGGTTTTTAAATAAAAAAGTATTTTCTGAAACTTTTTTTTAATGCCAATTTGTACAGGGGCTATCTTCAGCATTCCTCACCTAAGAATGTATTTATGGTTGCCCTGAGTTAGGGATTTAGTTGAAAGGTTACTTAAATTGAACCCACAGTTTATTTTACTAGAATAACACCATCATTTCAGTACTGAGTGTCGACCCAAAACAACGATTATCTGGATAACGTTGCGAACAAATCTGTGTTTTTTGTCAATTTGTTCCAGATTTTAGCAAAAATATTCAGATAGCTTTTTCAGGAGATCTATGGTGAACAAGGTTGTGGGCTTTGGAGGCGGATAAGTTCAACCTTGAATTGTCCTCATCACAATTAGCTCTGCTGCTAACACTCGAAGTCCTGATTAAATGCTAATTAATTTTCTAGCACAACAAATTCAAGTCTCAAGAGGTGCAGAAACTGTTACAGCACTATAATGTTTGACATATTAAAATGGAGCACTGTGGTTGCCCGCTAAATGTTAAGCGAAACATGCTGCCGAAGGACTTGATTTTGAAGTTCGTTCCAATAGAATTATCTCTATTTTTAGTAAAGCTGTTTAGAATTGCTAATTCTCCAATCAAGTATCTATTGTGAAGAGGGCCGTTGTGTGCTTTAAGGGTCTGTTAACATGATGTTGGCCCTCTATCACAGCTCCTCTCATCTCATTTGTGTTGTGAATTTAGCTTCGCTTGTAATTGTTGGTTGTGGATATTTTGATTACGATTGGTTTCTCTTTTTTTTTTTGTCAGTTGTTTTGGGATAAATGCGTTAGTCAGAAGGTTTTTCTGGGTTTTTTCCAAACATATACCGTTGTTTTTTGTTGTGTTCCACTGTACAACTATAACTGGCAACTATAAGTATTGTTTTTGATTGGTGGTTTTTCTGAGGTAGTTGTAATGCAATGAGTGTTGAAAAGATGTGTTGTTACTGCAGCAAACGTGTCTTTAGTTACTTTATGAAGCTCCCAAGTCAAGTTTTTTCAGAGTTTGAACACTGCGCTACGAGAAAACTAACGCACTATTTGTAGTAAATAAATACTAATTTTTGTATATCATTCACATTGTGTTTTTTTTTATTGTTCACACGTTCAAATATTTTAATTCAAAGCTTTGTGTGTATAAACCATCACATCATTCAGGACTCGGTTGTGTTGAAGTTTGAAAACAAACTTTATTCATAGGAACAAGGAGAGCACATACTGTCTGTTCAAACAACAAAACAGGCTTTTATCAATTAAACCAACCATCTCTATGAACCCTTGTCAATCTCACCTTTAAAGCTGTTTAATACCAGAGTGAAAACAAACATTTTGACCATAAAACAAAAAAATCAAGTCATAACATGTTGTGCCATGCCATTGTCAAGAGGTGCACACACAGTAAACAGGATTAACCTAGCAATAGGGGAGAGAAACATCAGTCTTACATCATAAATAAAACATTTTTAAGGAAGAAGTATTTATTTTTTATGATCTTGTGATTTGTAAGAAAAAGATATGCACAATGCTAGCACGTGTATATTCTTAAAATGATGGATGTTGAGGTTTTTATAGTTCACTTCAGTGTCAGGAGGACAAAGTTCTGAATATGGAGAGGCTGTCTCCTGGTTTGTTTGTTGGTTTGGCACAATCAGCACAACACGTGAAATTATTGTCCCCTTTTTTTTAATGCACATTCTTTAAACATTTCTGAAGTGCACTTTTAACCTGAAAATAAAAACAACCATCCCCGTTGCTTTTACTTTAAAGTATTTTAAGTAATGTTGCATGTAAGCAAAAAATACGTGCATTCCCAATGATTGTAAACCGACAGAAATCAAAAGTGGTTTCCAAGTGGAATCAAACTTTTGAACACATCTCAGATTCCTCTGCATTTAATAGAGCACAGTGAATATTTGAAATGCAGCACTATAGTGCATGGACCAGGTAACTAGACAACTTCACCACTAGATGGCATTTAATGTTGCAATGCAATGGCTGATACATACAGTAAGCTACATCCCAGCAGAGGGCATTGCTACTTCAGTCTTTTGATAAGAGACATTAATCAAAATTGTAAGCTGTTCAGATTAACCACTTATACCATTTTAAACTTAAATATAATACAAAAAAAGCAATTGCAGGCAATGTTTTCTTGCAAATATATAGTTTACTGTATTTGCAACAAAAATTGCAGTGTCTTATTTTTCAGTGTTCCCTCACCTATTACTGGTACTCGGAAAAACACATTCATAAAGTCAAATAAATCAAACAAGCAAGAACATAAATTCACATAAAGCAGCATTGCTCGGCTTTAACATTTTAGCTGCAAGCAGTCACATATTCTTTCCCACACATATTTGTTGATCATTCTCATCCCAATGTTTCAAGGCTTTTATTGTCATGCTACAGTGTAGTTATGACAATGAAAATCTTAGGTCTTATCACTGTCCTCGTGTGTTTCTATTACCGTGCCTATGCTGTCTTCACTGAAACGGAAAATTCTTGCAGATCCCTTCCCAAAAAGCATGTAGTAAGGCGTGGAGATGCGTGGATAAATATTTTTTAAACACTTAAAAGAACTGTGATCTTTCTGAAGCAAATCTGTTTTAAAGCTGTGATAAAGATGGAGAATACAATATGATCACTCCACAAAAATGTAATCCCATAACTGAGTTATTACATTTGTATAAGAAATGTACTGCATTTAAGTTTGCATTCACTATTATATTCCACGATTCATCCACTAGTATTTAAAGTAAAGAGGTTGTTTAAAAGGTACCAAACGCACACAACTTAGCAACTGGTTGAAAAACGTGAATTATGAGAATGTTGTGAAAACACTGTTTCACATGAATATGTCTAGACTTAAGCCAAATTAGGCCTGCTATTTAAGGACAAAAGACTTCTTCAAGAAGGGCACATTCTCCTTAAAGTAGTCAGGTGGCACTGGGAGACCACTGAAGCAGAATGGTTTTAAAATGTCCGCTTGCCGTGCAATGATATGGAGCTCCAAAGTCAGACTTCCACACAGCAAACCAAAGCTGCTTTCCAAAATAGAGTGTCTCTAACTTTGATCCTGGTCATATCGCCCGTTGATCATCGTTTTCAGTAAAGGTCCGACCTACAGGGAAACAAGTGGACTCTTGGTTAAGAAAGGCTACTTCACATTGTCAGACGTATTGCATGGTCCCAGAATGCATAGATCTTTATTTTGTACTAAATCAGGTACGCCATAAATATTCACAGTAATTAGGTTGCTGGAAGGGTCAGCATGCCCCGGGGATTTCATGTAATGGATGTTCATTTCATAACAGGTGACCTAAATGTGGATCTGATTTGATGTTCTAGAAAGTGACTTTGGACCATAGTGTGTGACTTCTGCAGCTGATGGTAGGAAGGAGTTTGTTAAGACGATATATAATAGGAGGTGCTTTTACCTCTTGTGTGTCTCCAAGTGCTTCTCCCAGCATTTTCTCAATATTTCTCATGATGGCCACCTTCTGATGAGCTCGCAGCGGGTACTCTATCCTCTTTGGTGTGGAGGCACCCTGAACAAAAGGAACACATAAGTGAGTGATCATAAAGCAACATGTAGTGGCAAAGATAACACAAAGTTAAAGTGACAAAGGCTCAAATATACGTACTTTGTACCAGAAGTTTACAGTGATCGTCACTCCACCGTTCAACAGGGATTCAATATGATGCCACCTGAGGAAAGAATATAAATATAGATAACTAAATTCATCACACACTGCTCCACATTAGCTAAACTATGGAAACTGTATTATACAAGAGTTACATTTGACAGCATAAATATCTATCAACAAAAGCCTGAACAACAAAACATTGATGAATCATTTTCTAACAGCATGTTGAGGCGTTAAATATAAAAAAGAACATACTGAAAACCAGGGAGATTAAATAAACATCAGCTGGCAGTGCATCCAAGAAAGTCAATGCTTAGAGATAATCATCTGTTATAGAGGTGGTGCTCATTTCTCTACAGAAGGAATACATCATTTCTTTAGAAAGACCATGCAGACGTAGATCTTACCAATACATGGGGATGTAGAGCACATCTCCGGGGCCCACAATAGTCTCATAGCCAACAACATTTGTAAAATTTGGAAACCTCTCAAAATCGGGCTTATCAAAATCAACCTAAGAAGGAAACAAATACGGATAAGTAAACAAAACATGAACATATAATAATGTGCCAGTTTATGAAGTATTTATACATTTTCTTGTCTATGGAAATACCACCAATTTATCTTTTTCACTTTCTTCAATTGTCTTAATTATCTATGAGAACTTTGCTGTGAAAAATCTACTATGCTATTACAAGTTCACATATTATTAAACCCTAGGTTTGTGCTGCGTACTTGGCTCTGCCGGTCACAGGGGTGGTGCACAGGGTACGGGTAGAGACACTCAAACTGGTCTGGAGGGAAGAGGATGCATCTCTTCTGGCCTTTGATCTGTGCGAAGAAGTTCTGCTGCTCATCGTAATGCGCTGGTGTCACATTGCCTGTGGGGAGAGAATATTCACAGAAAATGTTACGCTTTGAAAAACATTGAGGCCCACATTATACAGCAGAAAATAAGCAACTTGTATTATGTATAAAGTATCCTATAATTATATTTTTTTAGTAGTAGGTTGGTCTACTAATGGTTATTTGAACTTATTATGTATATGTATAGATGTATAGATACTCGATAGATAGACAGTATATGTTCTGCTGTTGAAATGAACATATTTACTTTTTAATAACATTTTTAAATCATGTATAATGACTTGTTCACAGCTGCTGTAGCAGAACAATTCCAACATTTTGGAACAATAAAGTATATCTAATCTAATCTCACTGCTTCCTAGGAGTGCTTACCCTCCATGCCAATGAGCAACAGGTTTGATGTCAGCTGTCCCCAGTTTCTCTTGGCTTGCTGCTTGTTGATCCAGTTCCAGTTGAAACCGAGGAAGTCAACAACTATCTTCTTCCCGACTGTGTCATTCAGGGTCTGCTGCAGATAAACCCTTGAAATGCATGAGAAAAAAAACATTTATGAGCCACCTTGTTTTGCTCTATGAGACATGAAACAAGTCGCAATGCAGCTCATTTTACTCTTAATGTGTCTGCAGGGTATACGCTTGTTTACAAGGCACTTCTGTTTCAGTAGACTACATCTCTTTAACCCTCCTGTTGTCTTCGGGTCAAATCTGACCGATTTACTACTTTCGTCAATCATAACTTTTTTGTTTTACATTCGATTGCATTAAGGCTTTATGATATCCTTCACAGTAGACATTTGAACATATAAATTGCTGACTACCACTTTCCTTGAATTTTGGATGATTTAGTCAACTTTGTACACACACACACACACTTTTGAAAGGGTGTTAACTGAAATTTGGTGATGAGTAATGGACAGTAAAATTCAAGAGATAAGATCCACTGTAAGCACCAGAGAGCCAAACAGCTTTAGTAAGTTATCCGTACGTGTGCTGCAGGGCACAGTAATAAGCTTGTCCCCTGATTCTCACGCCTAAACGCTTAGTCATTTGCTCCATCTTCCTGTGACAATTTATGTTTTCAAAAACACCCTTTATTGTTAAGCACACATGCAACACAGTCACATTTAGTTCCTGGCCTGGCAAAGCTTCAAACAGACAACTTTGCTGTGATTAAGCATCAGCCCAGGAGTTAATATAAACAAACCGTATATCATACTCTTGTTCCAATTTAGATATATAAATGTATCTTACCTCTCCTCTCCTCCCATTTCCTCAGTTTTGTGCATTTTTTCTACAAATTCAGAGAATTTCATTTCCATCCGTTCTGACTTGGGGACAAAGTTCTTAAAGTTAGCCATTTTTTTCTCATCATAGTAGAGGAATTTATGGTTGTGTGCAGTGTAAACAGAGAAGTCTCCATTTCCAATGTTCTCCTGGAGATAGTCAATGTCCCATTTGAGTGCTGGATAGACAAGGTTTGTGTCTGTTAAAACCACTGGCTCCTGAAAACAGATAAAGAACATTTCAATGTACACAAACATAATACAATAATATTACA